CGGAAGACAAAGGGCTGAATAGATGCTGAAGCATCCAGCACCGTCGGATGCTTCAAAGTCCCACTTTGACGGTCTGGATGCTTGGATTTCATTTTCCGCCCTCTGTTTTTGAATCACCAATTATATTTTCCTTCTATCTTCTCGATTGCTAAGTTGGTCATTATGGTAGGGATTTAGCTGCTTTCTTATTATATAGAGAGGTCCATGCACAACCACACGATCCATTTACCACACATAAAAAACGAAAAGTACAGGGATAAGTTACAAATTTCATGAGTAAGAAAAACACACACCCATGCCCAAAACACTCCACACTAAATATATTTAATTTGAGGAGTTATTGCATCATTGGACGATCCATTTCACTCTCCAAATGCGAAGGTTCAATTGAATTTTCTGATTCCATCCCATAACGAGTTATCTCTATTGCCAAGCAGTACGTCCCTTAATTCCGTCACCACAAAATTCATTTTTGGTCTTTGGGTGGAATTGCGAGATATGCAAGACATTGCTAATTTTACAGCTTTTCAAACAGAATTAACCTCGAGGTCTCACTGCAATCTGGGATCAACAATACTTTTGATATCCCCATAGAACTAACCCATTGGATTATGTGAATGTTGCCATGGCCTTCTTATATTGGTGACCGACTTGTAATAATCTCTATGAGAAAAATCTCGAAGCTATAAACATCACTTTTATCATTCAACCTATTTGATGTGCAATACCTTCAACTCAACACATGCAAAACATTTATCTAAAATCTATCACCATATACTAAGAATGATTTGTAACCACTAAGCTAATTGAGGAGCTCTCATCCTTCTAGAGGTCTAAAAGAATCTAAGTTAAATAATTCCTTCAATATCATGGTCTATTGTTAAACAATAATTTCATTTTACTTTTTTTTCCTTTCAACTTTGATACTATATTTAAGATAAATTTCTAATTCTCTAATGTCAAAACACTCTTGGCCAAGGCTTTTTAATTATCACAATGACTAAAATGACTTGTTATGGGGTACAGCACAAGTAGTAGGTTGATCATCAATTGTTGATTTCTAATAAAGGAGTTAGCTTAATTAATTTGCCCTTTTTATGGAGTCAAGTCATGATATTATAGTTTTTTTAGGTGAGAAAATTTGTGGCTTTTGATGATGATTTAATTATAGCTGTAGGAGTTAGGTATCTTTTTCTTTCATAACAATGGTTGAAGGGGTCTATTTTGAATGTTTTTTCCCCTCCTAAATGTGCATTTCTGATGGGGCCTATATTATTCTATCTAAGGGTCCAAAATAAATTGAATTGAACTATTGTATTAAAACTCTTATCAGTTTCGAATGGAGTGTATTAGTTACAACAATATATGTGTGTGTGTATATATATATATATATATATATATGTATGTATGTATATATATGTGTATGTATGTATGGGGATGGATGGATATATGTACATTGAAGTGAGAGAAACAATGAAAGAAAGAAACAATGAGGAGACGATGTTTTGACATTAGAGAATTAGAAATTGATCTTAAATATAATATCAAAGTTGAAAGGAAAAAAAAGTAAAATAAAATTATTGTTTAACAATAGACCATGATATTGAAGGAATTATTTAACTTAGATTCTTTTAGACCACTAGAAGGATGAGAGCTCCTCAATTAGCTTAGTGGTTACATATAAAATAGTTTAGTCGGTGATCATTTCTTTTCTAAAGAATGTGATCAACCTGTTGAAGAAAATATTTTCAAAAAGACTATTAAATGGTTTGCTGTTGGAAAATAATCTCATTTTGGATAAATTATTGAAAAATCAAGTAAAAGTAAAGACAAATTATACTAAAAAAGAAAAATACTTACTCCGGGTCAAGGTAGCCAGGAGTGCCAGCGACACTTGTTGATACATAAGTTCCACCTTCAGCTGGAAAAACTCAGAGTTGAACAATAGACCATGATATTGGAAAAACTCACTCTTGGCCGAGGCTTGTTGATACACTTGTTGATACATAAGTTCCACCTTCAGCTGCAAAAATAATCTCATTTTGCCCCTACAGAGTTGTACTCTTAAACTCCCATATGAGTGCAAAGACTTATGGTTATTGTATAATATAATTTAGAGTTAATTACAACGACACCTCCTGAGGTTGGTCATATTGACAATCATATACAACTTAGCTCTTTTTTGGACAAAGACGCCCCCAAGTTTGCAAACTTGAACAATAACACCCAAACATGATAAAAGTATATATTTACCCTTTAACCACGTAAAATGACCACATTACCCTCATCCAAAAAATCATTTCTTCTTCCCATTTTTCGATCTTCCCATTCATTATACACAACCACTACACATCGGCACTACCACAGCAACCTCCACAACCACCATCACAAACCCAACACCTCAAAATTACACACATATATCTATATATACATATATACATACATACAATGCCTTGCCCGCCGTCCGTGCACTCTGCAGCCGGCTGCCTATCGCATCCGAGCTTCCCCTTGCTCGCTGATAGCCATTCTGAAGCTCTCTGCCCACCCTATCACGGCTGTGTTCAGTCCACATTTCATAGCCGAACTCATCACAGAAATCCACATCACCGAGCTCCTCATTTGCTACGGGCTCGGCTAGACAGATCGGCAGAACGAACCAGCGAAGGATCACGGCTTGTGCATGCTGGCGATTGATAGAACAACGGGCAAGATGAGTTGTGGATGAATGTCGGCAATGCTCGGATGTGATTGAATTGCAGAGGGCTTGCGGCGCTGCACCGGCAGGCAGTGGTGACAAGGACGGTTCGCGATAAAGACAAGGTGGATGGTGGGTTTGCAAGGCGGCTTAGCGGGATCTCGCGGTGAGCAAGGAGAAGCCCTCACCAGCTGCCGCGAGTCCTCCACGATCGAGCCATCCGTCCCCGTCATGTGTCTCCATCACGTTCCTACTCTACGAGCACCTGAAATGTGATAATGGGGTGAGCTCACAAGCTCAGCAAGAAATACTAAACACAATCATCGTTCAGCAAGCTAACCTTACCTTGTATTCCTATATATATAAGCAACTCAATAAATGTATTAATTAAATATGCATATCTCAGTTAATTATGAACTCTACAATAACCATCATTTATTTTTAATAAATTCACATATCTCACATGAGCCCCGGGCTCCCATCCAATAAAGTGGTGTGAATCGTATAGTCCCTGACTACCGAAAACATACGTGTGGTTGGATTGTACGTCTACTTCCCAGATGATCCCTGATCATGTCCACACAATAAGGGCTCATTAGACCCATGGCCATAATAAAAGGGTAGTGCACTGGTCCCTGACCATACCCAAAAGTCATCATAGGGGGAGTCCCTGACTACACCTCCGACTAATCCAAACTCATCCATTAATTATTAGTTATGGTGAAATATGAAAGACATTATTATAATAATAATTAATGCACCCAAATACCCTTTTAATTAACTTTTTTTTTTTTTTTTTTTAGAAATAAAAAAAAAAAAAACATTACACTAAAGACCCAAGTAGTGAGAGTATAAAAATTCTTAACACATCCTAACACTAAGAATAAGTCCCTGTAAAATTATAGTTTTCCATACTCGCCATTATAGTACTGAAAAAAAATAATCTGTATATATATATATATAAGATTTTAAATTGGTAAAACTACCTCACCATCATTTCAAAATCAGCAAGCCCTCACAATTTAAGCTTATAACATTTAAATCTAATTTTCTGAAAAGGTATCATAATTATTGAAAACTTAATAATATTTTCCTCCAATTTCTCTAGCTTTTAAATACTAACAAAATATATAAAAATAATAATTAATTAAATAATTTAAAGTAAAAACAACCTGTTCCAAATTTCACTACCAGTCACTATTAATCACTGTTCCAACTTAAATCCTATTGTTTCCACTATTATATCATGGCTTCATTTATACATTCACCCATCTAGTTTATTAAACTAGAATTTTCAAAGAAAGTATAAAAGTCAATGGACCCACCACACAATTCATGTCTCTCAATTTACATCTAATTCCCAACTGACCTAGTAAACTAAAACAAATACAACTGACATTCTGTGCTTTGATTCGGTTCATCAATAAAGTCATGGTATCAAGTAGTTACCTACCAGGATTTATTTATATACAAATAATATATACACAAAGCTTATATATCCTAACCATCTGTTCCTACGTTTCTAGTTACTAATTTACATAATGGAATAGGAAGAGTTCGAAGATAAGATTTATATTTACTCAGTGACTATTAATTAAATCTGATAATAAAAATAATCAGTCAAGAATCTTTAGGAATGGATTATAAAGGTAATGGATTATAATAAGTCCAATTTATACGTCCAAAGCTAAACAGAAAGTGATTAAATAAGAATTCGATAGATGCTTCACACACATACACATCACATATATATCCCCTAATCTAAGTTATAACAGTACAATTACAATTGGGTTCTATGATCAATCATACCCATATGCTCTAATAAGGAAACAAATTTTTGCAATTCTATGCATATAAGTTCACTAAGAAATTAATATATCCAAGTTACGAATATATATAAAATAACAAAGTAAGATTAACTTGCCTGAGGTATAATTAATTCTTCCTTCCTACGCGAATTCCCATTTATCGTTCCTTCCCTCGGCTACTGCAGAAAGACACAATGTCGGATCACTCTCTTTGGTCCCTTCCTCTCCCGTTATCGTGCTAATATTTAAAAAAAAAAAAAATTGCAGTGAAGAGTTATAGAGATATAGGAAGTCAGGTGAGATACTATAGCGATTTAAATTTTTTAAAATTTAAATTAGTTAACCAACTCTATCACAATATTCTGTTTAAATTCAAACAGAGATAACAATTAAATTAAATTAAATTAATAAATATATGTATATGATATATAGTTTTTTACACGAGTCTTACAATCTACCCTCCTAGAAAGAAATTTCATCCTCAAAATTTGCGTACCTTATTCGAATAGATGTGGGTACTTTCCCTTGATTTCTGACTCTAGCTCCCCAGTAACCTCTCTCTCATCCTGATGATTCCATTGCACCTTCACCAGAGGTATCTCTGCTCGCCTCAACTGTTTCACCATACTGTCAACAATGCGAATAGGTGTCTCAACATAGGTTATATTAGGACGAATCTGGACCTCTGTGCAGTTAATGGCCTGAGTTTCATCCCTCAAGCACCTCCTCAACATGGAGACATTGAAAATATCATGAACAGCAGATAGTCTAGGTGGTAAAGCCAATCTATACGCCATCTCCCCAATCCTCTCTATGATCTCAAAAGGTCTAATGAATCGAGGAGTTAGCTTCCCTTTCTTTCTACCAAATCTCATAACCCCCTTTATTGGTGATACTTTCAAGAACACCAAGTCTCCCACACTAAACTCCAAAGCTCGACGACGTTAATCTACATAACTTTTTTGTCGGCTTTGAGCTGTGCGAAGTTGATCTTGAATGATGGCAACCTTCTCTATAGTCTCTTGCACCAACTCTGGCCCCAAAAAAACTACCATCACCAACTCAGCCCAACATACAGGTGAACGACAAGGTCTATGTGATACCCCTTAGTTCCGAGACATGGGTTGATCAAGCCCAGGCCTAAACCCGAGGGAAAAATTAAATAATTAATATTTAATGAACACATAATATAAGATGAAATAATAAGAAGTAAATAAAAATGGCTGAAATGAATTCTAATGAAAAATCCTCAAAATATAATGATTAAAATCCAAACTCCAAAACCTCCAATTAATTAACAACTCGGGAATCCATCTGGTGGACCCCTAATAAAAATCCCAACTGTAAAATGAAATAACTGAAGTACAATCCAAAGCTAATAAGTAAGCAGTCCTATGTAGTCGGTGGAATAGAAGTTTGTATCTGCTCTGCACGACCAAGCTCTAACCCTGGAACTGACGAGCACCAGAAAAATAAAAGAGTGGGTCAGGCCCACATGCAAGTCTTGATCTACTATGATCCAAATAGGAATCCGATACGCAGATATATCCTAGATAGACTCAATAATATCTAAAGTAGTCCATATATGTATATATTACACGCTATAGGACGCTCACTAGTCCAATAGGTCTGTCTCAGCCTGAGTAGAGTGTAATACCCCTAGTTTTCAAAAGGATAGAATGGGAATTTAATTTTGATAATTTTGAGTTTTATTGCATTTTTAATATGTGAGCTATGTGTTTTGGTTTGTTTAATTGTTTAAGTGTGTATTTATTTTTAAATAAATGATTTACTTAGATTTGTTTTAATTATTTACTTAAATAATTTGATTGAGTTAATTGTTTTATTTAATTATTTTAATTGGATTAATTTTGTGATAGTTGATTTAGTTGGTGCTCAACGTGACTGTTATATAGCTTTTCATTGGGTTTATAATTTTCATAGGCAGCCGTCATTGATTTGTAACCTAGGTTTACATATGGGCCGGGTTATATATGGATTAGAGTTTAATGTCTAAACCTCTATATATGTATATTACAGTGGATTAGGGTTTAAAACAATACAAAACAAAACGTAGGTTTTCGGTAGAACAAAGATACAATGAGATATTGAGAGACGGAGAGGAAGATAAACAGAAGAGGTCTAGGTTTTGGTCTGGATTAAGTTTGGACCAAGAAGGAGGAAGGAGAGGTGTTTTTGGGTTGAACCAAGGCACTGGAGGAGCAGACTTGCTATTTAGGAACTAAACATATTACAGAGACGGTGATTTACAGTTTCAAACTCTGAAATTGTAGGCAAGTCTCTGTTATATTCTTTCCCCTTAATTCGTGTTCTGTGCATGCCTGGTTAGACTTCAGGGTTTTAATAAAAGATAAAACGGATTGACACAAACATAATAACATGTTTTCCATGCAGATATGAATTTATTTGATCTCAGTGAGTTAACTGTTTTGTATACTGGTTGATTTTCTGCTATCTGTGTCTTTTACGTTTAAGCCTGTTTTAATGAGATTAGTTATAAGATTGGATGCCTTACAATTATTCTGAGAATGAGTTTAATCCCTAGAACAAGATTTTAAAACAGTTTTGAGTTTTACTAAATAAATCTGTTGTAAGTTGTCTAAAGTTGCTATCAGAAGTTATGTAATCGTTGCCGTAAGACTTGTGTCTAGTTCAGATCGTGGTTGCATAACAGTGGGTTAAGAGTACCCTAGAACTAAGATTGAACCCTAGAACAACCATTAAGAACCTTACAGAGGTCTGGAAAACACCGCAGTCGAAGAAGAAGCAGCAGAACGGACGACGGCACTAAGGGGAGAAAAGCAGGCTCCAAGAAGAGGAGGAGCCGGCTCTTTCTACCTTAGAGCCGGCTCCAAAAGAAGGTGGAGCCGGCTCTAGCATCTAGGAGCCAGCTCCTAGATTAGTTGAGCAGGCTCTTTTGGAAAAAATAGAGCAGGCTCTTTGTTTTGAATGAGCCTGTTCTCAATTGAACGCACCAAATTTTGTTTCTGTGCACTGTTTGGTCTGTATAGGTTCTTGGAACTTTGTTTAGGCTGTTTTAAATTATTGTTGGATCTGGAATAAATCCGTTTTCTATGGAAAACATTAATCCATGATTAAGCATAAGAATGGAGCAAAATAAGTCTAAGGAAAGCGGTAGATTACAAACTGATTGTCGTTGCACAACAAACTGATGTTTAATTAAATTCTTGTTTATATAACTCTGTCTTGTGATTACTTTGGATGTGGATGGGATCTTAAAACCTGAAATAAAACTAAGTTCAATGACTGGAAACCACCGGAGTCGGAGAAGACAACAGAAGAAGAACAGACGTATACTTAAAGTGGAGAAGGCTCTACTTATTTGGAGAAGGCTTTACTTGAGTGGAGAAGGCTCTACTTATTTGGAGAAGGCTCTACTTGAGTGGAGAAGGCTCTACTTATTTGGAGAAGGCTCTACTTGAGTGGAGAAGGCTTTACTTATTTAGAGAAGGCTCTACTTGAGTGGAGAAGGCTCTACTTATTTGGAAAAGGCTCTTTGAAACACAGAGCCTTCTCTTTCTCTTAAATATCATGTATACTGAGTTTTAAATGGTCTGGTTGGTTAAACATGAGTTTCTAAAACTATTTAAAGGCTATTGAATGATGTAATATACTGCTTAGGACTTATAAAATAATGGAGAAGCAAGCTTATATTCTAGAATAAAGGATAGAATTAACATAAGTTTAAACAAGGGCTGTATGTGAAAGATTAAACCATTGATTTGAAGTGCAGACTGTTTTAGAAATCTGATGCCTGTACACGACCCTAAGTTTTAAATTATGTTGTGTAGCTAAGGTTTAAGCATTCTGTTATTGAATTATAGGTATGCTTGGTTGGAATTAACGGACAATTAAATCTGTTGTATATCTCTGTTAGGACACTGTTTGGAGGAGATTTGATGCTTTTGCATGGTCTTAAGTTTTGGATTATGTTTTACAACTGTGTTTTAAGCATGTTTTTATTCAATAATGTGTATGCTTAGTTGGGTTAAACTGATGCTTAAAACATAAAGTGCATCAGTCAGGGTACTGTGTGGATAAGCAAAATTGCATAAACCTGTTTTATCAATTTAATAAACTGAAACTTGGATTCTGAATTTTCAGCGGAGACATGGTTTAGTGACACACATGTTAAACTATACTTATGATTGTTTTGGAATGCGTTGATAGTTAATTCTACTATTTCTGTCAACTGTGTTAACTAGAGGATTGTATGTACCGGTATGGGACGGTGACATACTAGGTATGATTAGTTAAAACACTAATCCTACCTAATTTGGAATGAGTTGGATTAACCATAAAAAGGTTAAGTCCCACTTATATGGATGTATATGAACCGGTATGGGACGGTGTCATATTAGGGATGGCTTAGTTCAAAACACTAAGACCTACCTATGTTGGGAATGGATTAGTTCAAAACACTGAGTCCGACCCAATTTGGATTCAGGTATGGATTAACCATAAAGGTTAAGTCCATCACCTACATGTGTCATATCAATTGTGAATTGAATGATCCACTATGGTTTTAGAATGGATTTATTTTTATACAGATATCAGACCACTACACAGATGAATGATATTCTGTATTAGGAGGAGTACGGATTTTATATATTTATTATGTGTGCCATGGTATGAGCCTGAGTCTCAGGACCATGGTTAGGGCGCGTATATCGCCTAGGATGAATAACTGGACATAGGTGTTGTCCCTTGGTAGGTCTAGGTATTCATGCCCACCTCAGGGTGCATATTTGCATGTTACCTTCTATTCAGGCTGAGACAGACCTACTGGACTAGTGAGCGTCCTATAGTATGTACTATATATACATATATGGACTACCCTATATATTGTTGAGTCTTCCTAGGATGTATCTGCGTATCGGATTACTGTTTGGATCGTAGTAGATCAGGACTTGCATGTGGGCCTGACCCACTCTATTATTTTTCAGGTGTTGGACAGTACCAGGCTTAGAGCTTGATCGTGTTGATGCAGATACAGACACTCACTCTTCCGGTTACATAGGATTTCCTTTCTACTTTAATTTTGGTTTTTAATTATGTAAATTTATTCAAGGTTTTGAGATTAGGGGTCCACTAGGTGGATTCCCGAGTTGTACGGTTTAAAATTATATTAATTTATTAATTCAAGTCTGAGAATTCTTATTTTAGTTTTCTTCCAGCGTATTATTATTAAGTTTTTTTAACTCTGGTTTTATTTTCTGCTTGTTTACATATTAATTGTTTGGTATCCCTTGGATCTGTGCTCGGACTTGATCACCCGTGGCTCTAGAATTGAGGGGTATCACATAGAGATACCATGCAAATCGCACATTACATGGTCATGTGTACCTAGACCTACCAGGGAATAACACCTCTGTCCAGCTATCCATCCTAGGCGATATACGCACCATAACCATAGTCATGAGACTCAAGCTCATACCATGGCGTCATAACATAAATATATAAAATCCATGTCCTCCTAATACAAAATATCATCCATCTGATATAGTGGCTTGATATATGTACAACAGTTCATCCCAGAAATCCAATTATGTCATTCAGTTATTTACTAACCTGACACTGATAAAAGTCGGACTTAACTTGTATTGTTAATCCAAACCTTAATCTAGATTAGGTAGGCTTAGTGTCTGAACTAATCCATCCGTAGTATGCCACCGTCCCATACCGGTGCATACAGTCCTCCAATCCACATAATTGATAAAAATAACATTTAATTAATTTATCAACAGTTCTCCAGAATATGCATCAGTATAGTTTAATACATATATAATGGCATTAGGTATTCACTACAGAACCTAAAAAATGAAGCTCCAAT